AAGAATAATTAGAAAAGATCTTTTATGGCATTCCCCTACTCCTTCCTTTCTGCCACAGAACTTTCTCTGCCATGTATTTCTTTTTTTGTTCATGTTCTTGCTCGTTTGTTTGGGTTGGGGTTTTGTGTGAAAACTTCTGAGTCTTCATTTTGTTTGTTTTGGGGTTTATTTTTGGTGAAATGTCTATGCAACATAAAATGCTTTGCTTTTATCTGGAGCTCAAAGTCTGAGGTGAGAGTCTGTCTCCTGTTTTTCTGCCTGCAGGGATTCCAATGCTGAAGATAGTATTTGCGGGTTATGAGCACCTGTCCTTAATTTCCGTCCCCTTACTCATTTATCATCCTGCTCAGATTCTTCTTGGCAGTCTGTTGGTACCAACAATAAAATCTTGGATGGTTTCTAGACAAAAGGTAAGAACTGCTGGGTGTGATTTATAATGGAAAATGTGCTATGAGAAAAAAATACCTAAACACATCTTAAACTCCCCAGGTTCCTTCTTGGAGATCCCACGGTAGGGATTTTTCTGTTCCTTTACTTCATTTATGACAGTGATAGTCACAGAAATATCAAATTAAAAATGCTGAACTTTATCCCCCTTGGCTCTGAAAAGGTTCAAATCTTCAAGTGAGACTTCTATGGTTAGTTCGAATTATAAATTCATTAAAATTATGAATTCAGATTATGCCCAATAAGAATGGCTCCATCTTTAGATAATAGTCACAGCTTTGGATCTCCCTTATGGAGAAGTGACAAAGATCTGTCCACTGGCATGGGAGATGGGGAAATCAGGTAAAATGAGGGCACTTTCTGAATTGAATTGAAGCATGATGAAAAACAAAAATATATATTTTTTTCTTTTTTCTACATGGGTCACCCTTTACAATAGCAAGAAGTTTACAGAAGACTGGTGCATCGCATTTCATGCCAAAATTATGGCATGGGGTAGCTTGTAGGATTATAACCTAGAGGTTTTTGCACCAACATCACTGATTCAAATTATGCTTATTTCAGTATAAATAGAAGCTATTGACATCTGACAGCCATTCTGTGATGTATATGAAATAATTGCAGTGGTTTTAGTTGAGCTATCAGAACAGTAGTAACCACCTTGCAGAAAGCTACTCCATGCAGCTGATTTTAATAGTCTCTAAAGTTCTGAGATAATAGGCATCAAGAAGCTGTGGCAACTGAAGCAGTCTTTGACAGCCACTTCAGGTGAAGGTTGAGACCTGTTGTGGGAAAACCAGTGCCACCAGTACCCTGCATTCTCCGCTTGTCAGTGGAGAAATTTTTTTTGATAAATTCCGTGTTTCCAATTTTCAGCAAACCCCAACAGGCTGCTATTTTACTAGCATCAGTCCACTAAAGTCACCTTGCTAACTTGAATCCTAAATTCCCCAAATCAGTGATTTTTATGCGGCTCCACTTTTGGTTACCTGAATTTTAAAAAGCATCCAAAAACGGAAAATTGAGAATTGTATGTCATTTCTCCATCAGTCTCAAAGTCTTTTTTTTTTTTTTTTTTTTTAATTGGAAATTATCAGGAGACATTACTAGTTGTGTAAAGAAAATTCCGTGCTATTCTTGCAGAAAGATAGCCTAAAGCTGCCACTGCTGGTGACAGAACCATCCCTGCAATGCTGGCTTCTCTTCAGCATCTTTTTGCTCTCGGCTGCCGAGACCAGGAGTGGGGCTGGAACTCATCCAGACCTCCCTGATCCTCAGGGGCAGTAATGGCCTTTAGGGGCTGCTGTCAGTTGCTGCAAGTTAACACAGCCTTTAAACAGCGCATCAGAAAAGTCAACCAGTACTGGAGAGATTTACAGTTCACCAGTACTAGTTTCTTATTCATTAAGCATCAAATAAACCTCCTGTGTTAATCAGACTGTAATGCTACCGTAGAACCACTTTGGGGGATTGTTGTTCTGTTGCAGCAGTTTCTTCAGTTGGTCTTCTGTATTATTCACAAATGTTATTTTAATTACTCTTTGAAAAAAATCAATGAGGTTGGGTCTGGTAAAGTTATAATAAGTATAATAGAAGTGAATGTTGTGACTGGATAATGGTATCCCGCTTTGAAAATAAACATGTCATCATCACCCTTGATGTTTATTTTCTATAAACACCTTGGCTTCATTTTGGCATCTCTCTTGCAGGGGGAGACGGTTATCCAGTCACAGTACTCAACTGCAGTGACATTCTTACTTAATTATGATAGTACATGTGATCTGGTTGTATGAAATTGAATTTAAATATTTAGAGGTTCATCTGCACTAAAGTATTTCTAGTTTGTAAATATGGCAGCAGAATCTGCCAAACTACAAAGTTAAAAAATTGTTTCCCCAAACAAAATGTGGAATGATGTCTCTCTCCAAAGTCTCTTGCTGAATAATATCCAAAAGACTAATCTCAGACGGCTGGATGTAACAATAGTTAAATGCTGGTGTTGCTGAAAGCTGGTGTTTCTGAGGGGAATATAGCCTATTTATTTTTAAAGGTTTGGATTTTTTAAAGAGTTTACATTTGTGCCGGAGCGTTTTTCAAGCAGTGCTTACAAGCTTTAAGTGTACAATATTAAAGGTTAATATCTACAATAAGAAGACTCATCAGATATCTCTGAGACTGAAAATTGCTTGTTTAGCCAACCCTCCAGAAATGATAAATCTCTCACTCGACAGGTAAATGCCAGTCTGACAGGGCACTTCCCCCAAAAGGCTAAGGAAAACAGAAGCTCCAAATTTCACAAATTTGCAAATTTCATTAATTTTCCCCTCACTCCGGCTAATTCATCTCCCACAAGAATGCTCTGGGCTTTTTTGTTGCAGAGCACACCAACAACAGGCATCCTTCACAGCGACCACATCGGTATACCAGAGCAGCTGAAAACCCAGCACCTCTTAAGGCTGTCACATTTGCCTCCTAAGTTAGAGAGGCTGCCTCCTCCCCAACTAAAAGCATGGTCACCTGTCATTTGAGTTGAATTTCTGTCACACACTGAATAAATAGTTTAGCTGCCATAGTTTGCCAGCCCTGCGGGGAACAGGGAGCTGGACCTTGCCATCAAATAAAGGCATGTGGTTTCTCTCCTCCTTAGTAAGAGTAGACTAGAGCTACAAAGAAGTCAGGTGTCCCCTGGCATAAGATGCCCTCTGGACTGATGGACTTTGGCTTATTCTTACCTTTTCCCAGAAAGAAAGGTAGAAACCTCAGAGGTGCGTGACATCCACCGCTGCAGCAGTGACTATACGCTGAGCAGGCTTCGAGCCAGGTGGAAGGAGGCCAGGGAACGCAAAGGTGTCGGCAGAAATTTTCTTCACAGTTTTTCCCTAAGTGGGTCACAAGCTCTTGTATCTGGTACCACAAGTGGTTTGAGTGGGGTCCAAATGGTGGCTTTCTTAAAAGATACCCGAGACCCACCTCCGCTTCCTTCACTGGCACTGGTGCCATATTCCTTGTGGTTCCTCTGTTAGGGCTATCCGTATATGAGGAGGTTGTGATGGGCTATCAGAGATCAAAACAGGATCGCAAAACCCAGAGTAGCCTGTCAGCTCCATGCTGACTCCTCGCTCAGCATCCCAGAAGTACACGCAGTGTTTTGTTGCCTCTTATAAATAAAAATCTTGTCTTATGCTTTTGGTTGTCTTTTAAGAATACACAAAAGTGACTGTTTTGTTTACTGTTCACAGGCACTGAAGTTAACCAGGCAGCCCAAAGCACCTGTGAAGGTATAATTATGGAGATGGCCTGTGTCACAGTGAATGTATATATGTACTATACTGTACACACAGACAATTGAGACAACTGGGTATTTGTGAATGTTGCTTCGGTGCATATTTTATTTTTTTATATATATATATATTAAAAAGATACCTGTTAAGTGCCTTACAGATGCATTTTTGGCATAAGCATTGTTTCCAGAAGCCACTTTGTTGGTTACTGCAAGAGGTTGTACAGTATTTTGGAGTCCTTTAGTTTTTATTTTTCTAACCGAGTGAATGGTCATGACTAACAGCTGTTTCTTCCATTGCCCCTCCTTTGAAGCCAGGGTGCACCAGCTGTAAGTCTCTGTTTTAAACTAGCCAAAATGACCAGAAGCCTATCCCACTGCTGGCTTACCCTGGGGAAGAGCTTTCTGAAAGTGGTTCGTTGTTTTTTTTTTTTTTTTTCAAGATTGACTTGAATTTCTGTGTGACTCTGTTACACTCCCTAGTCATATGACTGTGACATGCCTTTTTCTTCTGAGTTTGTGTATACTCAGCATGGGGCCATCCATTGGATAGAAGCTGAGAAGCATGAATTATTTGCATTTGTTGACACAGTTGTCTAGACATTCCTTCAAAGTTAATGGTTTCTCAAGAAAATTCTTTCAATTCCATTGTATGATATTGTGCCATTGTATATCTTAAATGCCTCATAAGCTTCTTCAAAGAAATGGTCTGGTGCTTGGGTTATGAGTGAAGTATTTGTGTTTGCAGCTATGAGATCTTTTATAATTTACCCCTAAAGAACACACATTTTTGTTTTTCTTTTTTCTTTTCCTTTCCCCGGTGCAATGCACAGAGTTCTGCGGTAACAGAATTTAGGATGCTAATATTGAAACAGACTCTTTATTGTAGTGACCCAAGCTACATTTTCTATATTGCTGCATTGGTAATGAATAATAGTTTGTGAAGACGAGAAAGTTGACTTTTTTTTTTTTTTGCCAATTAAAAGGATCCTTATAGTAACAGAAACGCTATCTTAGCTAATTTGACAATCAGTCACAACATTTTTAAAAATAAAATGTTACTCTTTTTAATAAACTTATATTAAAAAAAGAATACAAAATACTATTTCTAAGAGGAGAGAAAGAGAAGACAAAGGGATACAGGCATATATTTAAACATATAGCCAGTACTGCATCTTGTCCGGGAGATTAAGATTTCAGAAGTGTACTCTAATCCAGACTTTGAGGTGTACCCATCTTCAAAAACCGTGCTGGCAATTGTGCATTAAAACATTAAAAGGAATGAAAGAAATAGGTCAAGCTGGGATCAATATAAATGCAGAAGTTTTGCCTGTTAGTTAACATTGCAGTTAGTGGTGCAACTGGCTGCAAACACTTAGGAGCAGATCTTTAGGAGATGTAAATTGTGGTGGCCTTGATAAGGCTGTAGCCATTTACACAAGCTAAAGATCTTTTTGTATGACAATAGGTATGTGCAATTCATATCCTTTTGCCTTAGTGGAAAAAATAGCATTTGGTTTACCTGGTCTGTTATTCCTACTCCATTATTCCTGTGAACAACAGGAAAGTAATCTGGTACCAGTCACCGGTGCTTTCCCTGATGGTCAGTCAGTGCAAGACTGCTCTGTTGCCATCTGTATGAGAAACTACTGGGACCTGGCAGGGTCAACCTTGTTCAGAATTGTTATCACCAATAAAACGACCATGTAACGAAGGTACGTGAGGCGGCAACATGCTGAATTCTTTCACTCCCTGGAGGGGGATCGAGCTCTGCACACTGAGCAGGCCGGAGGGCTGAGGGACACTGTCCACCGCCCGTGTCCCCCAGGGCTGTGCTCTCTTCTCACTAGCCAGTGATGCAAAAGGGCAGCGGGCAGCGAGCTCGCAGTTTTGATCAGCGCATCCCCAGACAGCGTAGTCAAGATCCAGCAGGCCAACCTGCGAGGCGATTGGAGAGAATAGCTTGCATGTTCTTGGGCCAAATTCAAGGTTCCCCTTCCTTAAGCATGCTAAGCGGTAACTGGCTCCATGTGGGAAAAAAATTCCTTTGTCTGGGCTTAAAAACCCTGCTTGTGGCAGGGAGCCCGGACTCCCAGAGTATATAAGAACTTCATCCCAATCCCACTGAAATCGATGACTCTTTCTGTTGGTTTTGAATGGCACAGCAACCGGCCCGGTAAGAGGGCTTGCTTTTTAAAAAAACATATAGGAAGAGTTCAAGCATACAGTAACTTACTGTGATTGTGTCAATGCTAAACAGTCAGAACACTGCAAGTACCCTTACTGAGCTACCTCTGCGTACTGAATCGCCCACTTTCAGTACATCCAACAACTTGCTTAGATTCCACTGCACACATCCTTTTTTCTTTGTTAATTTTTTTCTTCATCGAAGAATATTTCAAACTGTTTTAAGATGGGGTTTTGTCGGAGCCTTTACAAAGTCCTTGTTGATTGCTTGGGTCAGCCTAAAGATTGTGTATCGGTGTTGGGAGGTGTTGGTCTAAAGGGAATATAAAGCAAAATTGAAATATGTACTTTAAATCCGTACTTAATGAAATTTAATTATGCATATCAATTCTGTTATGTTTAAAGACTGTTAAGATGTTTTGTTTATGACTTGTTATTATGCCTATATGTCTTTAATAAACAGAATGGTTTTGAATTTAATTTTGTTAATAGGAAAACAAGGTAAAATTACTTTTCCTCTAGGTCAATTCCTTACCTCTGTTACCTATGTTTTGTTCTTTTGTTGGTCAGCTTTTAAACTGTTTGCTTGTTCTTTATTAAAAAAAAAAAAAATCTGTGAACAACACAGAAATATTTTATGAACTAAACTTGGGGAGAGTCCTCAGAATACTGCAAATTATCATCAAATGAAAATTAATTCATTGAATTCCACCAGTTTTTCAGTAGAGGGTTAGAACAGTTCTGAATCTTTTAAACTTCGTGGCTTTAAATTTAACTGAGAGATATCTGGTACTGAACATAATCAGGCAAAACTGATGGCAAATGAGAACTTTGCCCGTGTTAAAAAATAAGGATTTTCTTGATCATCAACACTTCTTATCTTCTGCATATCTATAACCCCGTGTAATGATAGCAGAAGAAAAAAATGTCCAAACAATAAAAGAGCACTTCCGAGGTCACAGGGAATCTTAGCACTTTGTCTCGAGTTACTCAAACATTGTATTTCCTTTTTTGTGCGCTAAATTGAGAAGCTTTTGATGACCCCAGTAATAGGTCCAAGATAAATCATTTTTTATGTCGTTAGATTCAAAATTGTGGTTGTGTTTTTTCTTCTAGATCCTTTAGTTTGTGCGAATAGGTTACATGACAGAAAAGGCAATCTCAGCAGAAGGCGCACAGTTGTTCGCAGAGCAAAAGGCGAGTAATCCGGCAGCGTGGTTTTACAGAAGTAGTCCCCTATGTTATTCTGGCAGTCAAGGAAAGAGGAGCTGTTAGTTTTATTTGTGTACGGTTTTCTGTGGAAATATCCTGACAGCAGGAGGTTAGAAGGCAAGATGAAATATTGTCTGTCTGCAAGCACATTTATTTATGTGCAAGTGTATACGTGCATAAGAGATGAGCAGTTATATATGTAGAAATCACTAGAAAGGACCAAGTCCCTGGTATACATTTTTTTTGCAAGACTGCATATGGAGAAAGAGCTACTTTTTTGATGTTATTCTTACATTAAAAATGAAATTTCAGACACTGAATTGTGTTTTGTATTGAATCATAATCTCATACAGAACCTTTACAGCAGACGATGGCAGCACCGTATTTGTAAACTGTAAAGTAAATTGTAGACTATTCTGCACTTAAATAGATGTTGATGCATTTGGGAATTACAACACAGTAAAGGGCTAAATCATACTTTCTCCATTTTGTTATAATCCAAATGCATTTATATTACTATTATTATAAAGTGCCAGAAACATACAGTCCCTCGCAAACACGTTAAGTAGACAAGAGACTAAATTCTGCCCTTGGTTACACTTGCACATCTCCAGTGAAAGGGCTGTTAAGCTGCAGAGCGGTCTCCCTAGGGACGCTGTTTGAAAAGCCCTGCCATTGTTCTAACAAAGCTCGGTGATAATGTAGCACACGAGGAGAGTAAATGAAGAGCGTTTTACTTTAGATTTGATGGCCTGTCCTTCCCAGCATCTAACAAACCAAATCTTTTCTGCCCCTATTTCCACCGGTAGCCCCAATCTCCCAGACCAAAACTACAGCATCGTATCAGAACAATGGCAGAAGAGGGAGGTCGTGTCCTCTTTGCTGTTTTCTTGCTTAAACCACGTTATCACTTGTCATCGTTAGACTGTCACTTCTTCGAAGGGGCATTTTGAATTTCTTTGAATTCTTTGAAGTTTTGTGTGTACAGTTCCTGTGAAATTCTCATTCAACAGCGAGCACCCTGCAGGATGGCAAGTAATCTTCTGGAGTAGCGTGGACGAGGACTGTCCGATGGCTTGAGATGTGCAGGACAGGAGAAAGGAATGCCAGGAGATGCAGGCACGTGGCATTGCTACAGGCAGGTCTGCTTCATGCCAGCATCTAGAGCTGTAGCAGAGGTCACGAAAGCAGCCTCTAAATTGTTCTCTTGCCAGAAAGGTGGAGAGTGAGATCTTCAGTGAGAAGTGAAATTAAATTTGTTAGTGATTAAAAGGACAAGGGAGATGCGTTGGAAGCAATTGGTGCCAATGAGGCCTCTCGGCTGCTCCCCTAAGCAAATTGCAGTCTCGGTGGAATACCAGCTTCTCAGTCCATCAAATTGCAGTAATCAAGTCTGGAGCTGATGGGAGCATGAGTCACCACTTAATTTTCTCATCAGCGGAGGCCAAGTTTTCAAAATATTTTTAGATGCATTTCCGCAGAGATTTCTGCCAGCCGGTGACCTATAGAGTGACAAGAAAATGAGCAGTAGCTGCTGCTGAATCAGGCTCTGCTCCCTGCCACCTGCCCCACTGCCTGCAGATTTGGGCAGGGAGGGCAGGTAGATCGAAGGCCTTTGGCACGGCTGTGCAGAAAAGAGCCCCACTGAGTTGATCCCATCACCTGGATTTGTTAAGTAATAAAATAACCTGTTAATTCTTAAGCTATCTGATAGGTTCAAATCAACCCTGACTCTGTGTTGCTAACCTAGACCAGAAGCAGGCGTGAGATTTGAAATTGATTGTGATCCCTGCCCAGAGAGACAGCCGATACCCCACAGCTGCCGCACGCAGAAGAGGCTGTGCGTCTCCCGAGGATCCCGTGCTGGTGCGTATTGTCCACTCTTTACCCGTGTTCAAAGTTGCCACCTGGCACAACCACTTTTCACCCAGTCAAGAAGAAGAAGAAAGAAAGCCTCTTTGGATGGCATCCTCTGTGGGTGGGCTCCATCTAGTATCATTGTAACAAAATCAAAGGATTGCAGATGTTAGCGTGCTGATGTTAGTTCATCTCTGGAAGAGGAAACTTACCATTTATGGTCACTTCTCTTATAAAACAGCTCCAAATTCTAAGGGAAATCAGCTCTCTTAAAAGGGAAGAAAATGGGCTGCCTCGAAGGAAAGACTATTTCATTGATAGGATTAA